TGTGTGTGTGTGTGTGCGTGGTGGTTTGTGCGTGCCGCGCGCGGTGTGTGTGCTGTGTTGCGTGCGTGCGTATGTGTGTGTGTCGTGCGCGTGTGTGCGGTGGTTGCGTTGCGCACCGCGCATGTGTGGTGCGTGCGTTGTGTACGGGCGTCAAAGGCTAATATATAATATATTATATATATGGGTGTTGTGGCGTACGTGTGTGGTCGTAATGAATGGTATCGGCGACAGACACACACCCCGAGGTTTATGTAATAAAGTGTTATCGATATTTCCCGTGTGAATGAGCAAATTATTCGAAATGGTAGATAAGCAGAAAGAGTTGCCGAGGAAGCAGTATTTCGCTGAATTTCTGCAATTTTTATTAGAGGAGCACATTGGCTAGCAAGTGCATCGCGAAAAATATTTTGACTAGCGTCTCAGCCCGTGCGGCAGAAGCGAGTCGCGAAAAAGGGCATGCGTCGGTGGCGGTAAAAATCAGATGACCGGAGATATGTTCAGCATTCTATATACGTATATATTATGGTGATATTCGCCGTCGCCCGGCGTCTGCAATCTGCAAATACGCGTGAAATTTCGCCAATATAACGAAATTTACTGCGTATGTTATAGTTGCCGAGCGGAACAGCAGTATGTTCGCTTGAATTTCTTGCATTGTTTCTAGAGAGCACGTCGCCAGACCAGGGATGTAAAAAAAATTCGCTAGCGTGTCAGCCCGTCGCAGAGGCGACGTCGGAAAGAGGTGGCGGGCGTAAATCGTAGACGCGGAGACCATGTCCGTGCGTGATCATGGGGATAATTTATGTGCCATATAGCGCGTCGGCCGTTACTACGAAAAAAGATTGCGCTATCCAATTCGCAGACACGGAGGCGGTCGCCGAGTTTACCATGTTTTCGCTATAGTGGCGGATAGCCCCGAAAAGTGATTATGTCAATGGCATAAATTCCGCGCTGCTCTATGTTTTCGCGCGAACGAGCATGCGCAAATCCGATATTCCCTTGTGAAACTGGGAAATTGTTCGAGACTAGCTTGGGGTACCAGCCGTGCTCGGGGAAAAACGCTTAGAACAGCACTTTGTTTTGTAATTACTCTTTTGTAATTTTGTATTATACTGATAAACCTGATATATGTCTAACATTTTTAATGGGCGAAGTTAGGTTTACTCTCTTTTTTACTAATACTTACTTAATATTTTTTGGTCTATAAGCTATTATAAGTTTAACATCATTCAATTTCAATAAGTTTACACTGTACTACAACGTTAATGATCTCCATGACGAAACGCGTACACACAAGCCGCGGCACACACACACACGCACGCACGCACGCACGCACGCACGCACGCACGCACGCACACACACACACACACACACACACACACACACACACACACACACACTGTCAGCGATCAAATATCTCTACAACTACAGCTAAAACAAACAACCTATGAGTTGAGCTATTGCGCAATTTACGCATTTTTATCCCGACAGATGGCAGCACGGAATCGCACGCGGATAATAAGCTCCGCATTGCTTTCCATTTACTCACTCTGCGTTAAAAACAGATCCGTAAGCGTAAAAGGGCGTAAAATAAAAAAAATGGTCGTGGAAGTTCATTAACTGCCAACAGAAAGGACGATGAATTCGTCGTTTTTGACACTTGTCGCTTTCTTGTTCGTTCGTGCGTGTCGTGCTACAGGCAGGGACTCGGAAGAAGAGTTATTTACAAACAGCTTTGTGATAGAATTTGGAAGAAATGTTGACGAAGAGGTCGTTCAGTTGGTTGGAGAGAGCCTCCGAATCCCTCACTTACACAAGGTAACGGAAAACGTGATTATGCGTGCGTGAATCTGTGCTATATACGGATATACTATTGTGTCTTTCTAGCAGTTTTGATCAAAGCATTTTTACCGTATCACGTGTGGTGTTGTGGAAAGGGTTGATGGATACTTGGACTTGCAGTGAGAGAACTTGTAGTTGTATAGATTAGAAGAATTAGAATAAAAAGAGAAGATTGAGGAGGAAGGGAAATATTCAAAGAGAGGTGGAGGTTGCACTAGAGCAAGGAGGGAGGAGAAGGAAGAAGAAGAAGACAAAAAAGAAAAGAAGAAGCGTTGGAGGAGGTAAAGGAGGAGGAGGAGGAGGAGATGGGGACGGCAGAAGAGAGCGACCAGGAAAAAAACAGAAAAACTGTAATTTGAAGACGACCCACGACTAAACCCGAAACCGTGATGACTACCTAATTGCCTGTTGAAACTGGAAGTGCAATGTTATTGAATACAGTCAGTAGTTGTATATATATGCTTGCATCGTGCATGTACATATAATGATATATTCTATAACAGTATTAACAGTACTGTACCACAGCGCTTCAATTCACGATAGAAACCTACACAACACATCATATAATAATATGATCCATGTGGCAGAGCTAGAAATGGAATATTGGTTGAGTGGGTTATCAACGTGGGTACCTGCTTAAATGTGGAACTCAAGGGGTTTTAATTACCTTTAGTTAATAAACCACTAATTCGGTTAATTACCAATTCCTCTTACAGGTTATGGGCTTCGATAATGTTTATCACTTCATGGATAACAACGGAAACAAGCGATCTCGGAGAGAGGTGACAGAATATCTCACGACCATCAAGTCAAATCCTCACGTAAGTTTCAAATTCGTGTCATGACTCTAATTGTATAGATGGTACTATAGATATATGTACATTATATACATTAATTGTATTATAGATGTCTATGGACAAAAGTATGTAGTGTGTAGTGTCACTCTATACTCATCATTAGTTACAAGGTAGTGGAATGTTTCCGCATTCTTTTCATGAAATAAATTTCGGAAATATTCAAAAATTCAGGAAATATTCGGAATTCGGAAAATATTCAAAAAATATTCGGAAATGTTTGGAAAAACAAAACTCAAAAATTAATGCATGTTCACTTTGTGATACATCGTTACTTTCGATCTGCAAGGGGATATATTAGACATGATCCATGTTGTGCGACATGTGTAAAGGTTAGTAACGTTATAACTGCCAGAGTATAGGTTTTGTTTGCGTTATCGTTTTAACTGTGTGACATGTGTTTGCTTCTCAGGTTGAGTGGGTGGAGCAGCAAAAGCTGTTAATCAGGGAGAAGCGGAATGGCATAGCGAAATTCTTTTCGCTCCCTTCCCTAGTCGAAGACAGTGCCTACCAGAGAGTGCAGCAATACAAGTCAAACGTAACACTATCACAGATCGCTCCGGTTGCTCGTCTAAGCTTCCAAGATCCAAACTTCCATGACCAGTGGTACCTGGTGAGAATTAATGTCGCGGCAGGGTTGTAGCCAGGACAATTTTAGTGCCGGCTAATATCAGTGATTGCATCACATGCATAAATTATTATAATAGCAGTGTGGTGCTTAGCCAGCTACACTGCATGTACTGTGCGCTGTATGATGTGATCAGATATGATGATTTTACACATACTTATTGTTGAGATTAAACTCAGAGTTGTTTTTAAATTAATTCTAAGTATATCAGTTGTGATTATTTGTAGACTGCTC